TATGCTCAAGGACACAAAGGAAACTATGATTATAATGCATGAATGAATAGAAAATCTTGGCTGAGAAACAGAAACTATAAAAAAGAACGAAGTGCAAACTCTAGAACCCTAAAACTATAATATCTGAGATTAAAAAAATTATTCAATGGGTAACAGCAGATTGGGGAAGACAAGAGAAAGATCAGTTAATTTGAAGATAGATAAATAGAAACTACCCAATCTAAAAAACAGACAGAAAAGGATAAAATAAATAAAGAAAAGAGGAATAGACCCACAGGGACCTGAGGGACAATATCAAAAAGTCCTACCTATGTTTAATTAGAGTTCAAAGGGAGAGAGAGAGAATGAAGTAGAAAAAAATTCAAAGAAATAATGGCCAACAATTTCCCAAATTTGGTTAAACATAATAACCTAAAATATGTTAACCCCTAAAATGTAGTCTGTCCCTGAAAGCAGTATACATATTTCTTAAAATTTGTATGAAAACACAATTCCTATAAGTCAAATTGTATGTAAAGCAAAATACGTATAAAATAAATGAAGAACTTGCTCATTTACAGGACTCTACATTGTTATGAAATGAATCACCAGCCCAAGATGAATCTGTTTTCCTAAAACCGGGTTTTACCCATAGGATTTACCATAGAACAAATTAGAGAGCCATTAACGACTATAATGTCTGCTGTGCTGAGACCCAGCCTGCAATATAGGCAGTAGAGAGAGAAGGGGGTGTCTAAGGGACAGGGAACAGAGGAGGAGGCTGTGGTTATGGGCTGAAAATCAGTGAGGGAGTCTGATGTTCTGAGTGGGGGCGAGATGGGAGTGGGGACTGACCTGAGGCTGGGCCGTAGGATGGCATAGATCACAATGAAGTGCACCTTCTCCAGGTTGGACATGGGTCGGTCTGAGATGGAGTCATCAGGCTCAAATGCCTCCTCTCCAACACTCAGCTGGCTGGCCACCTCAAAAACCAAAGATGGCAGTCAAGACAGCTGTGATTTCCTCCCATTTGCAAAGGCGGAAACCAGGGCTCAAGGAAAGAAGCAAAACTCTAAAATCCTTTTGGTGGCAGAACTGGGAACTCCAGGCTCCGGACTCACCTGGCCTGTGATCCTAGAGGAGCGCTTCAGTTTCATGGAGGAGATGTCCTTGGTCCCTCTGTTCCTGTGGCTGGGCCTCTGTGGATGGAGACAATTTGCAAGTAAAGGTGAGCTGGGGCAGTACCTGAGAGCCACCTAAGGTGGAGTGAGTGTCCATCTCCCCCAATCATTTCCTGCCCTGCACCATGCAGTCTCTCATCTTGGCTGAGCTTTGCAACATTTAACATGTTCGCAGCATTATCCTCACTCCTGAGTGAGAAGACAGAGGCAAGGGAAAGCAAGAGATGAGACAAAGCTACTCGGCCAGTAACTGGCCCTCTGGGAGGGCTCAGGGCTTTTGTGACTCTAAAGCTTGAAACTGTCACCCACAAAGCCTTCTGAGGTGGTCTTGGATCTGAGCTCAGGTCCACTGTGACTTGGCAGCAATTCACACTACTTCTCTGTTCCTTTAGCTAATAAACATAATAATCCCTAGCTAGTATGGTTAGCTCACCTGAGAATTAACTGAAGAGAAGCAACTGGCACATAGCATGTTGTCAGTAACAATTTCTGTTAATACTGTACATGCATTTGAATCCTGTTCAAGTCAAACCCAATATTCAGAGCCTGAAGAACCATCTCCAAAAATGACTATATAATTCAAAATGTCCTGGGTGTAATGCCTGACTCATGAGTTCCTGAGTGCAATTCAAGACTAAAAACTTCTGGGGGTGGAGAGCTCTGGCTTGGGTCAAGTTCAGGGTGATGATGAGGGGACTCCATGTCTTGCCTCCTCTTCCGGTCCAGCTTCCTGGGGCCTTGGGCCTGGTTGATACCTAGAGAGTGTCTTGCCCTCCTCTGCCACCACCCTCACCCACGTACCTGTGCAGATACACTGTGCTTTGGAGATTGGGTGCTGCTCTTGCTGCCCACAGTGTCATGGATCTTCTGCATCACTGAGCTACCACACAGGTTATTCCTGGCAAAGAGTACTGGCTCCGGAAGGTCACCCATGAACCTCAGGATGATGCTCCACACAGCCAAGGCGGCCTGGGGGAATCCAGACAGAGGGCCCCGCTGGAACCCAGCTTGTAGCATAGGGCCCACAGTGACCCCACCCCTTCCTTGTTCCCTCTGAACCACAGCACAGACCCAGGGTTCTGGGGGTGGCCCAAGCCACTAAACCAGAGAACCCCTGGGTACCGAGCAGTCGGCATCGTCCTCATGGTAGAGCAGTGGGTATGGGAGAAGCCTCCGAATATGCGTGTGGCTGGCTGATTTCTGAAAGTAGGTTGCAGCAAACTTGGGGAAGGTGTACTCAGCCAGGCCATCCACATCCTCCTTGGGCTCCTCCACCATGGGGACTGTGTCCAGGTCAACCTCAGGCAGCTTCTGAGTCTTCGTTTCTAGATCCTGGGGGCCGGTGAAAGGGAGAGCCAAGAATCAGCAATCCTTTCAGATGCCACCTGATGAGCTATGCATCTCAGGGGACCAGGGAGCCCCAAGAAGGGTCTGTATGGTTATGTACCAGGTGTAGAGCCATCTGTCCACTTCCCCTTGTGTTGGAGACCTCCCCCACTCTCATACCCTCAGTGGGCCCCCAGTGGGCTGCTATGTGCAGGATGGGCCTTGGCATGAAAGTCTCAGCTACCTGAGAACCCTCAGAGCCCCTGGCCTGGAGACATGAACCCTCTAGACACCTCCAACCCCCTCCTGCCCTCCTGCCTTGCCCTTGGTCAGGTGCTCCTCCTGCAGGGGTTGTCCCAGCTGCCCCTTACCGCAGATCAGGTGTGTGTGTGCCCATGCGTGCATGGGGAAAGGCATGAGCACCTAGGGTGGGGGTTGCCTAGGTCACTGAGTCTTGGGGCCCAGAGCAGGGTGTGGTGAGAGTCAGCAGTACAGCCCTAGGGAGCTGCTCCTCTCTGGCTCTTCCACACCCCTCTCAGACATCGCTTCCTCCTGCCAGGGCTCATTAGTCATCTACATCAGGCCCCCAGTCACATTCTGCAGAGCAGCAGCCACCAATGTGCTCTGTCACATGGGGTCAGACACAAGTGGGAAGCACTGCCTGACTGAAAAGCCAATATCATTTGCATACTCTAGGAAGTCTTGCAGGTAAGAAACCTGTTTACCATGAAATCCTGTGACCAAAGAAACCCGTGCTCCCCTTTGCTCTGTACACTCACCTAGGACTGCGGAACACACTTCACCATCTACCCTGCAAGCCCCTGCCGCACTCCTCCCCACTGAGTCTCAGCTTCTCAGTGAGCCTTGAGGTTGAATGAGGTCCAGCCTGGGGGCGCTCCTTCCCTCCCCTGCCTGAGCCAGACCCTTGAAGGACAAGACCCATCTTACCTCGAAGCGTGGTGGTGCCTGGCCCTCCTGCCCGCCGATCATGGATGGGAGGAAGCCAAATACTTGCTCTACCATCTCTGTGTCAGTGATGGTGTCGTAGATTGACTTCCGCTTTCTGGTGTGGAGGGCACTTTGGCCCTTCTGCTCTTCAGTGGGGATGACCAGCAGCCCCTGCACACACACCCCATGGTGGGGGGAGGGTAGAGGTTATCCATAAGCCCCGCTGGGATGAGCACCTCACGGAAGCTGAATAAACCTCCTCCTGCCATCATCTATCCAAATCAAGGTATTTTCCTTTAAATTCTAGATTTTAATAGCTAGAATGACTAGAGATCAACCAGCCTGGGCTTTTCATTTCTCAGTGGAGAAGTCCAGAGAGAGAGTTTGCCTGCTTGTCCCTAGCCCCACATGGTCCCTGTGGTACCATCTCAAACCCAAGGACCTCTAGAACTTAGCTGTAAACTGTGGCTCAGGCCTCTCTGGTCTTTTATTCAAAGAGCACGGAGCCTCTTCCAGGAGAGGTCCCTGGGCCTGTACTAAATAGCATGCACAGGTAAGCCTGGTTTGTGGCCTGCCTGGGGTCACATGGATGCAGAAGCAGGCTGCTGACATGTCTGAGGGTCTATGCCCTTACTTGCCCTGGTTTCTGTACTAGTAGTTTGGTCAGTAGACCCAATTTTTACCTATAAAGAGAGGTAAATTTAATCCTAGCCCCTCTTCCTTATCACAATTTCTAGCTGACTGAGGTTTAGGCTCAGGTGCTTTCTGGAGGAAATGGAATCGTACATTACTCCCTTGATCCCTGTCCAGACACTCGAAGTCTTCTTTTGGTATTTCTCTGCCCTGAGCCATCATGCCACAACCCAGTAACTAGAAACCTTTGCTCTCTTCCACAGAACTGGGACCTCCCATAGCATATCTGGCCCTGGTTTCCTGTGCCTTCCAGAGAATCCACCAGCTTTGCTGAGAAATTGTCCCCAAGGCTAAAGGGAGGAGACCAAGGAGCACGATTTCCAGGTTGTAAGTACAAGACTATCCTGCTAATGTGACCCAGGGAGTCACTTATGTGTCCAGGTGGCATGAGGACCTTCTGCAGTAATAACTTTGGACAGGGAGGTGACGGGAGTATCTGTAAGAGGTCCCTATTGCTCTTACTTCTCCACTGGGGCCCCAGCCAGTTCTCACCTGTTCATGGGAGCGGTGGCCGCCTATATTAGCTTTCTGCCGCTGGAAGTTTCGCCGGGCAGCCATGCCCCTGGCATGGGCTTGGATGATGACCACTGCCCTCCTCTTGGCCTGGATTTGCAGGCGCACCAGGTAGCCCCTGCAGAGGGCTTGCAGCTGGATCATTCTCTGCCGCATGGCCTGGTACTGCCTCGCCAGCAGGTAGCTCCGGGTGATGGCCTGCAGGCGCTCAAAACCCAAAAGGATCTAAGGAGGCAAGAGGGATGTGGACTCACAGGGTGTCTGGGCCCAGAAGGGCACAGGGCACAAAGAAGGCCTTCTTGAGGGGACAGAGAATGGGAGGCAGGTGGTACTCCCCAAAAGACCGCAAAAATTAGCTTTACAGTTATCTGCTTTTTGGCGTAGGGCTGATGCTAAAATTTTACACACCTATGCGCACAAACCTATTAAATGAGTTATTATTTGTAAAGCACTTAGAATAGAGCCTGGCACGCAAATAAGTATGAAATAAGTGTTTGCTAAATGGCATAAATAATAAAGTAGTCTCTGGGTGGCCACAGAGAGAGAATTGGTTTAGATGTCATATGGGTGATGGGATTCCAGAGGGCTTGTTTTTCATACCTGCAGCCAAGCCCAGCCAAATTGTCAGGAGCTAGCACACCTGTGTGGAGGCCTATGGCTGGCTCTATCAAGCTAATCCCTCAGGGATCTTTACAATAAGGAGGAATTAATAATTTGATGAACACCCACTTCTATGCTACAAACAAACTCTGGGCCACAGAATTCAGTCCCTGAACCCCCCCAGACAAGTCTTATTGTTAACTCAAAGACCAACCTGATGAGGGCCAAGTGTGGGGGGGTCACACTTCATTCATGGGCTTAGAAGTCACACAGACCTGCATGCAAACTCCAGCTTTACTGCTTACTAACTTCACACTCTTGGGAAAATTACTTAACCTCTCTAAGCCTCAGTTTCTTGACATATAGAATTGGCTTCATAATAAATAAAATGATGCATGCAAAGCAACAGGCCCCATGTAGGCTTTCCATTCTTGTCAGCTTCCATTATGCCTTTGTGAGTATGAAATGTAGGCAGGCCTGGGGTCAGTTTTGCTGACATGACCATTGCATATCCCAAGCACAGTCATATCCATGACAAAGGCAAGCAGTTAAGTGAGGCCCAATAAAGCACGGTCAAGGTTGTTTGGTTCATTTCCTAAGCAGATACTCATTAGCAGTGCCTGTGGTCAAGAGAAAAATTACAAAGTGCTTGGAACAGAGAATCATCAATCTATTAACTTACTTTGTTGCCTGAAAATTGGGAAAAGAAAGTCGTTATCTAATTTCAAAGCAGGACATCTCATTCTAGCTCTGGAGATTCCCAAAATTCTGCGGGAGAACATTTTGAAGCCCACAAACCATGTGACCTGAGGCTATGCTAAAAAGAAAGTGTATGAGATGCTAAAGTCTGGTCATTTAAAGTTGGTTATGTCCACTGGTGGTCTTCTCCTTCTTGCCCGAGCTTTCATACTCTGATAAACAAACTTTTAACATCTGCTTTTTGTTGAACAGTTATCCGCTGCTCCTGCAGGCCCAGCCCCCAAGTGAGCTCTCCTACCAGCTTGAAGTTCCTTCTGTTGCAATAGCCTCTCCACGCAGCCTGAAGGGTCACTGCTGCCCGCCGCTGCCTCAGGAACTCCTTCCTAAAAGGGGAAATGCAAGTCAGAGGTGTGTAATAACCTTAGATGTTTTAAAGTCTTTGGGGGGCAAGACTGTTTTTGAAGGGAAGAAGGATAATGAAATGTTAGGGAAAATGAAACCATACAATATTTCTTTTTCCAGAAGCCTTTGAAAGCCACAAGACAGACATGTTATGAACTTAAAATCTACTGCCAAGAACTAAATTTGTGAATGAGGACAGTCCAATGTTTAGAGTAATTAGTAACATCCTCATTCACCCTAAAGATTATACGAGGGGATAAAACCCATTTCCAACTTTTTATTCCTTTATAGATTCTTCTCCCTCCTCTGGACACTAGTGCAGATGTCTGCCAGAAACCAGGTCAGAAGTCTCAGAACTAGGGATCCTCTCTGGGGGCAAATCAAGGCTGGAGGGCAGCCTCTCAGGCCCTCACAGCCAGGCAAGCTCCATCAAACTGCCTCCCTCTGCAAGGAGGGAAGTGGGCTGAATATGGAAAAGGTAACCTGAAACTTGTTCTCCATGGAGATGGAGACAACCCCAGGCAAGCGTGGTATCTTTTGACTGTATCTTTTATCTCACACTTAATGAGTTTTCTTATCACTTCTAATAATTTTTCACGGCACTTTCTTAGGTTTAAAACAGCAGATCTTAATCATATTAAAAATCACCTGTGTGGACGGGGTGAGTGAAGAACAGCAAAGGAGAATTGGAGGAAGGTGGTCAAAAGGTACAAACTTTCAGTTCCAAGATAAGTGAGTACAAGGGATGTAATGTACAATATGATGGCTATAGCTAACATTGCTAAATGGTAAATATGAAAGTTGTCAAGAATAAATCCTAAGAGTTCTTGTCACAAGGAAAAAATTTTCTTTTTTCTTTTTGTAATCTATATGAGATGCTAGATGTTAGTTAAACTTATTGTGGTACTCATTTCATGATATATGTAAGTCAAAGCATTATGTGTACACCATAAACAGTGTTCTATGTAAATTATATCTCAATAAAACTGAGGAAAAAAAGAAAAAAACAAGAAAAAATAATCTGGATAACTTCAAAATTTCTTGAAGCCTGTGCCCTACCCAGTATAATTAAGAATCTTTGTTGATGGGTGTGGAGAATATATATCTGTATACCTATTCATTATTTTTGGTGCATGTATACACACACACACACACACACACACACACACACACACAATGATTCTAATATGAGGTCAAAGGAAACAACTGAATTATCTAAAAATAAAGCTAATTTGTCTCTTTTCCAATATTTAAACCAATAGTTCTCAACTGGGGGTGATTCTGCTTCCTAGGCACATTAGGCAATATCTAGAGACATTTTTGGTTGCTATGGCTGGGGTTGGGGGAGGAGGGTGCTGCCAGCATCTTGTGAGTAGAGGCCAGGGATGCTGCTAAATTTTCTATAATGCCCAAGACAGCCCTCTACAACAAAAAGTTATACAATCCAAATAGTCAATAATGTTGAAGTTGAAAAATCCTGGTTTCTATCTTTTTCTTAAATTTATTGTCTAGTTGTGTTGGCCAGAACAGCAAAACATTACCACTTATCAATGGTAATCATATCTGAGAAGATGGAGTAGACACAATTTTCCCTATTCCTCCTGCAAAATACAACTAAAAGCCCTGGACATTATATATAAAACAATCATAAGAAGACACTAAAAGGTAGAGAGAAAAAGGCAGACCCAGTCCTTGGGTTTTTCTTTCTGCCTCATACCCCAGACTAGGAGCTGAAGAAGCCAGCAATCCAGAAATAGCAATGGGCACAGACCAAAAAAGCCCCAAGAAAAGCTTCTATCTCTACCAAAAGGATCCAGAAAGTGGCAGTTCAGCAAGTCAGAAACCTTTTAGATGATAACCAGTCTACTCCAGTGAAACATCTCATAAACAACTGTGGTCCCACCCGCACCTACATCAGAAAATGCCAAGTGGGGAGCTGAGACTTCCACCCTCACCAGGGTCATGTCAGAGAAGGCTGAGTAGGAACCATCCTTGGTGAGCAGTAATGAACCTATCCCTCAAGTGTCCGTAAATCACTGGGGGATCCTGGACTCCCACCACCACTTGGCAGTGATGGGGTGCCCCTCTTCCTCCATGCTGGAGTGGTGTCACAGGATACCTAGTGGAGAGTCAGGCTTTTCATCATCCCTCAGCATTAAGGCTACTCCTTTCTCTACGATATCAGTGGAGGCCATGTTGGCGGTAGTAACAAGGCATTTATGGCCCTTTTAGCCAGAGTGGTATCGGTGGAGGCCTAGTGAAAAGCTGGAATTCGCATTCTCAGATAGCAGTAACAAGAAACCTCTACCTGCCTTGAGAGTCAGTGGAGGCCATGTGAAGAACTCGAACTTTTGCCACCATCTGACAGTAAGCAGCTGGCACCCCCACCTTTCCCTGCCAGAATGGTGTCAGAAGAAGCCAGCTAAAACAGGATGTTTAAACAAGACCCATAGTTCTTAAAACATAATATCCAAAATGCCCATATTTCAGTGTAAAATAACATCATATATATAAAAAAACAACAATAGGAAAATAGCAACTTGAATAAGACAATCAACGGATGCCAATACCGAGATGACACAGCTATTAGGCATTATTTAAAAAATGCTCCAACAAGCAATTATTAACATATTTGGAACAAATGAGAAAATAGAAAGTCTCAATAAACAAATAGGAGATAAAAAGTAGAACCAAATTGAAATTTTAGAACTTAAAATACAATCACTGAAATAAAAAGAAACTCAGTGGGTGGGTTTAGCACACAATAGAGAGAACAGAGGAAAGAATCAGTGAACTTGAAATTATGAACTGAAGGAGAGTGAACAGAGCCTTAGGCACCAGTGGGGTTATAACAAAAGATTTGATATTTGTGTTATTGGAGTCCTACTAGGAAAGGAGAAAGAAGCAGTGATGAAAAAGTACTAGAAGAAATAATGGCTGAAAAGCTCATAAATTCAGCAAGAGATATAAACCTACAGATCCAAGAAACAAACTCCAACTGGATAAATGCAAATAAATCCACATCAAGACACATCATAGTCAAATATATGAAAACTAAAGGCAAAATCTTGAAAGTAACAAGAGAGAAATAACACATTATTTTTAGGGGGAAAATAATTTAGATTTCTCATGAGAAACCATGGAGGCTAGGAAAAGTAATACAACATTTTCCAAAGGCTGAAAGAAAAGAACTGTCAACTCACAATTTTATATCTAGTGAAAATATCCTTTATAGGCAAAGGAAAAATCAAGACATTTTCAGATAAAGGAAAGCTAAAAATGCTGAGATTTCCAGGAGACCTACGCTAAAAGAATGAGTAAATGAAGTTCTTTAAATGGAAAGAAAATGATAAAAGAAGATACTTTAGAATGTCAGAAAAGAAGAAAAGTAGAGTAAGCAATAATATTGGCAAATATGATAGGCTCTCCTATCTTTTTGAGTTTTCTAAATTATGTTTGATGACTGAAGCAAAATTTGTAACACTTTCTGATGTGGTTCTAAATGTATGTGGAGGAAATATTTGAGAAAATTATATTAGAAATGGGAGAGGGTAAATGGGCATAAAGGGAGGTAAAGTTTTTATATTTTTCTTAAAGTGGTAAATGATGACACCGGTAGACTACAGTAATTTGTGTATATAATGTAATATCTAGGGGCACTAAAAAAACTATAAAAAGAGATACACCCTAAAATATCAAGATAAATCACAATGGAATTCTAAAAGAAAAAGAAAAAACATTTAAATAACTCACAGGACAGTAAGAAAAAGAAAACAGAGAAATGAAAAACAGAACAAACAGAAAGCAAAAAAGCAAAATGACAGACTCAAGTTCTAAAGCAAATAATTACATTGCATGTAAAAAGCTTAACTACACCAATTAAAAGACAGAAGTTAGCAGAATAATCTAAAAATGTCTATTAAAAACTTACAATATAATGATAATGGAAGACTGAAAGTAAAAGAATGGAAAATATACATCATGCAGACAATAACCAAAATAAAACAGGAGTGGCTATATTAAAATCAGATAAAGTAGACTTCAGAGCACAAAAAAGGAAAAACAGAGACAGAGATAAACAAACAAACAAACAAATAAACAAATAAAAGTGTCTCTATTGCAGAAAGGAACATTACATGATAATAAAAAATGTAGACCAATCAAGAAGAGACAGCAATTCTAAATGTGTATGTTCCGAACAGCAGAGCTGTAAAATGTATGAAGCAAAAACTGATAGAACTAAAATGAAAAATAGAAAAATTTACAACTATAGTTGAAGTCTTCAATACTTCTTTCTCAATAATTGATAGGACAACTAGACAGAAAATCAGCAAGAATGTAGAATTCAACACCACTAACAACCAATAGGATCTAAATGACATTTTTTGAACACTCTACCCTACAACAGCAGAATATATATCTTTTCAAGCATTCTTACAACATGTACCAAGATAGTCCATATCCTATCTTGAAGAAAAGACATGTTTAAAAGAAGTTAGCTTGTATGGAGTGTGTCTCTGACCACAATGGAATCAAAACAGAAATTAATAACAGAAAGATAACAAGAAAATCTCCAAACACTTGGAAACTAAATAAAATACTTCTAAATAATCTGTAAGCCAAAGAGGAAGTCTCAAAGAAAATTTAAAAAATGAAAAAAAAAAATGAACTGAATAAAAATGAAAATACAACAACGTATCAAAAATTGTGAGGTACAGCTAAAGCAGTGCTCAGAGGGAGATTTATAGCACTTTATATTCGAATGGAGAAAAAGCTTTAAATTTAAGGTCTTCCTCAGGAATCTAGGAAAAAAAGAATAAAATAAACCCAAAGCTGGAAGAAAAAAGAAATAATAAAAAGAACATAAATGAATGAAATTGGAAACTAATAAACAAAACAACAATAGAGAACATCAATGAAACTAAATGCTGGTTCTTTGAAAAGCTTAATAAGATTGACAAACCTCTATCATGACTGTCAA